TGTTTTTTTGTATAGATCATCTGCAGCATTGCAACCGCAACTACTAGGCTACGTGCTATGCTCTAAACCTTGAACCTTTACCCCATATTATTCACTTCTTTGGATATTTTTTTCGTTGTTGTTCTTTCATATTGTGCTTGTTCGTATATGGGTAACTCTGTTTGCGGAGCTCCAAGGGAATTCGCACCAATTACTGGTAGATTCATTTATCACTATTTCACTTAGTCACAGATACTCACTTAACACGGGATTATCACTTAATGCGGGATTGCTTACGATAGTTGCCGTCTCATTTGCTGCTAATCACTACTGTAATATTGTGTTTAAATAGTTTGTCCATTCGTCGCAGCGTGTAATTGAAATGACTCGCTTATTGTATAAATACGATTTCTTTCAGAAATCCTTGGAGTGGTAATACTCATAGACATAATTAAGAAAGCTTCATAATATAATAAATGGACTTTTAGATTTAGGGTGCTAATATCCCATCCTACAAATCCCAATCGAAATCAATTTGAAAAAACCAAATAGAGCTTGCAGAGGTCGTCATTCTGAAACTTTTTCAGCTCATGAAGATTCACGAGTAAAAAACTACTTTGTACTTTGTAGTACTTGGAGTGTTAATGCACATAATCACGGAAGCTCCATAATAACTCGAATAAATGGTGCATTCAGAAATTAGGGTGTTGAAATCCCTACCGATGAAGTCAATTCAAGAAATCAAAGCTATGTATCTACTATCATGGCTAAAAGTGAAAGGGCCGGTGGCCATGCTTCAATCCAACAGTGCGCCCCAATGACAACGGGTTACTGCAACACGGATTCACCGGCCTCTGGAATCTGTCTTGTGTTTCGGGAGAGTGTAGAAGAATGGAGGGGGGGCACCAGACTGTGTGAGCGCAACGCCTAACCTTCTGTTATCCTATACTGTCTCGTAACACAGGCAGCCGATCGATGCCGCGTTCCCGTCAATAGCATAGAACGCCACTGCAAGGTAGCGTGTCGGCACGCGTAATCGCGAAGTCTGAAGGCTGCCTGAGCTTGGAGTTATTCGCGATGATTGCTTTCCTCAGTGGTACCTGGCACTCAGGTGCTCGGCAACATGAGCTTGTAAAGTCTCCTGATCTTAATGTTCAATGTGAAAAAACGATACGACGAGGAAGCGTTACTCTTTCGACAAATCGTGTACTAAATAAAGTTGCACTCTATGTTATATGATTCTCCTGTGCAGTTTCCAGTTTGATCCTGAACGATATAAGGAAGGCGGGAAAGCACTGGAACAACGAGTGGTTGCTTTCGGACTCGGAAAACGATCTTGCATAGGAGAGACACTCGCGAAGGCGGAACTTTTCTTAGTAGGTGTCGTTCTCTAATTTCTTGAAATTTTCAGTGTCAGCACATAAACTGGTAATGACTATGTGGCTGCTGACAAGATAAAGCTTTTATACTCATCGTTGGGAACACTCCTGCGTAATAGGGGTGGCGCTAGCACCTTGCGGCGAGAATGGCGGAACCACCATTTGGGAACACGCTAACTCAAGGATAGCTAGGTAGCAATCTGCCGTTTTGGGAGCAATATCTCTGGCACTAGTGAACTGCCTCTGGAGCTAGTAGATCGCGTCAAACGTGTACGATGGCCTCGTAGAGTTGTATGTGCTCCCTGTATGTGCGTTCTCCCAAATGTTCCACTCATAGGTTGAGCGCGAACGACTGCGACGAAGCACGAAAGATAAGCCTAACAGTGATCTTGAGAAAAAGGGTCTCTATGTATAGAGCGACTCTCTGTCACACTGGGCTGCTGATCTTTACTCTCCATCGTGAATGTGCGGGAAACATTAACTGAGTGCTTCAGATTTTGGCGAACATGATTTCCCGATACGAAATGTTCGAAGATCCTGAAGCACCCATTGACCTGAGATGTGCTTCTCCAGTCGGAATGATGCATCGCCCCAAGAACTTCAACATTATACTGAAGCCAACTATGTGGTTTTGATACGATTACTGTAGAAAGCAGTCAAAATGCTAATTGACTACTGAATAATAAACTGAATATTATGTTGTGAGCATGTTCTTGTTGCTTTCACAGTGGCTTTGTAGGTCTAGCCAGTGTCCTGTGGTGGACGAAGCAAACTCCGTATTTGTAGAAGGAAATCTTGGTGAGTCATTCTGTACATTACAGTTCTCGCGAGGCCGCGAAATGCCTCAGTGCATTTGGCATCGTTGTTCGCATTCGTCGCAGAGAATGTTCCACTTTTGTCTCTTAAAACGGCGAGATAAAGAAGCTAGAGACGTGAGATTATTGGAACTACTGCAACCACGGTTACTTTCACAATACAAGGCAACGGCTTGCAATCGGAACTGCGTGTGTACATTGCATTTTCCTGGAGCGTCGTAGGGTTACTTTGTGCTCGTTGCCGGAAGAATGTTGCAGCTTCGATTCTCTGCTGTATCGGGCTTCCGAAAACTCGTCAAGGCGCCCATTCGATAAGGGATGCTCTGTTCTGAGTGGTTCCAAGGATTACTTTTTTCGCTTCTTCTATACTGGGGAGTCACTATGGGCTACTGCTTCATGATTGAGCACCTACTACCCGTAACACCTTGATTGTGGGAATTGTCTTTAAGCCATTCCTTGTGCTTTCAGTGAGACATATGTTAGCTAAAGTTTATCGTTCCTGTACGGCGATCGCGCTAACTCCCGAACTGCACGCTGTCCAACAGTGGAGCAGTATCTGTGGTCATAAATGCTCCACTTTTCCAGCAGGCCACACAACTGTCGCAGATACTGTACCAAGAAATTATAATAGAATCATAGTATAGTACTCTTAGTGGCGTCACATCTATCCTTCTGTCTCTTTTTTCAAGTACACACGGCGGTTCCTCTAGAGAAAAAAGGAAATCCTCTTTTTGGCAAAAGCAAAGGCGCCAGTGCTGATACTGTCAAAGAGACGGACACCATCAATACCATAAAACGCAAAATTGAAAATTATGACCATTTAAAACCACAAAAACGTCTCTGTAAATCATACATGTACAGTGGACAAAAATTAAGATAACAACCAGGTAGTGAGTGTAATATGGAATGTGGACCGTAATGAGTAGGATTCAAGTATTCACAATTAATCCGACAAATGCTCCTCAGCTTTGCCTCTTAGAATATGCTAGTACTTAAATAATCACCCCTTTGCCTCCCTAGTAAACAACCATTGTTTTCAAACGTCTATGAGCGATCGCGTTGTTCGCGCGTCGAGCCGTTATCCACCTGGACAGCTGCCACTTAGATGACGTAATCGTTTTTTTCTCTCCTTCCGCCAGTTCGACGCTGAAGTGGCAGCGGTCTATTTCCAGTTTGAGGGTTGAAGCCGGATCGAATCAGAGACGCGTACTACGCGACCGAAACGCAGCCTGTCGCGACGTCTGAGCACTACTTAAGGCAGCTAGGAGCCACCACGAGTTTGTATCAAGTACAAAGTTCGAGTTGTTCATTGTTCTGCTTGCACAAGGCGGAAAATTGAGTAGCAACAGTTTTTTTTACCCGCTTGGAGTCCTGCAGATGTCTCCCACAAGAGTAGCTTCTGGAAACAATCGTTGAACATTCCAGTAGAGGAAGCGTCGGTCCAGCGAAGGCACAGAA